CGGGGAGCGGGGGCGGCCGCCGGCTCGCCCAGGCCCCGGGGGGCTTGCCCAGTGCCCGCGCCGCAGCCTCGGCTCGAGCGTGAGCGCCGGCCGAGGCCACGTGACGTCGCGCCCCCGCCCCCCACGGCCGCCCCCTTGCGCTGCGGGTGACGTCACCGTGCGCAGGTGGCGCGCCGCGACCCCTGAGGGTCCAGAACGTTCTCGAGGCCGCCCGCGAGGCTCCGGCCCCTGGGGGCTGTCACGGGCGGCCTTCGGAATTTTTTCTTCTGATGAAAAGCCTTATGGAAGACGAATGTCCTAAAACATATGAAAAAAGATGCGCACTCTCATTTAAGATATAAGAAACGTCGGTTAATGAAAATGTAGACTTGGCAATAAACCCTTCGGGGAAGCTATGCCAAAGCCGCCTACCTAGGTGCTGGAGTGCAAAACACAGCACTCCTGGGGAGCGACAGCCACGGGAAGCCACACCAGTGTCACCAGGGGGCTTGGTAGGCATGCTGCGACTTAAACCCCACGCCAGCCAGACCTGCCTTTTACCGAGATCTCCAAGTCACTTTACATAATACAGAGGACACTGAACTGCCCTTGGCAGTGTTGCATTGTGGTTAAACCCAGGCTTTTTGAGACTGGGCTGGTTATGCCCCGTAGTCTTTGTTTCTAGGTACAGTTGGCCAGATGAAAGACAGACCTGAAATCTGAATTTCAAATAAATAATTTTGTAGAAGTATGTTCCATGGAGTGTACTAAAGTATTGTTTATCCAAAATCCAAATTTAACAGGCTTCCTGTATTTTCATTTGCTAAATCTTGCAACCCTAACCCCAGACAAATTCTAACCTTCGTTTTTCTCATCTAGGAAATGGGGATAATAGTAGGATCTAGCTCATAAAGCTGTGTGGATGAAATGAGATAGTCCATGCAGAGTATTTACCACAGGGTATGAAACAATGAGAGCTCAATAAGTGTAAATTCTTAATTATTTCATACAGATGTGTCTTAGGATAAATTCCTAGAAGTATGCTTTAATTATAGAACTCCCAGGCTTAATATAAGCCTTGTCTGAGCATTTGATCATACCCAAAACTGTATTTTATGAAAAGCCTTGAGCAGGTTAGCAGGTACCTCTCAACTAGCTCCAGGACACAAGTCAGATTTTTAAATTTCCATACAAAAACAAAAAATTGGCACCTACAAGCAAGTACAGATTTCCTTCCAATCACACCAAATAGTTGGATGTTGATTCTGATTTGTTTTCTATTCCAGAGACAACCGAAACAATATCCAAGAGGAGAATGTTTAAAAAAATGCTACCTCATTCCTAAGATTTGTCCATGTGATCTACTATCTGGACTAAATTATTACAAAACGAAGAGTTAATATTAGGCCCTGAGCTCTAAGGAAAAGAACACTCCTTTTTCTTTTCACAAAGCTGATATTTACAACATCCTCCTTTATGGTTACACACACACACACACACACACACACACACACACACACGATGCCCAAAAAATGTATATTTATATTTATATTATATTTATATACATATGTATATATGTATATATATTTATATATATAAATATATTTATATTTATATACATATGTATATGTATGTATATGTATATATGTGTACCAGAGGTGCCAAAGAAATGTATACAAGTGGACACTTTGGTCAACGTTGCTCAAGCAGTAGTTCGCCGTAATCAGAAGTGTCTGGACGCTGATGCGAACCACTTTGAGCATCTCTTATAATTGTTATTGGTATATATTGAGTATTACAATTTTAATCGTTTTTCCCTTTCTTAAAACGGGTATAAATTTTTTGGCACCCTCTGTATATGTATCTATGTATATGTGTATATATACTCAAATTTCAAAACTATAAAAAGGGTGTTACTTCAAGAAGATACTGTAGTTTTTTCCTTCCACCACAAAATTTCTATTTTGTATTTTACTCTAATTTTAATAGGTTCACAGGTTTCTTACCATCAATTTTTATTACTTTCTAAAAACAACTAAGGTATAAATATAGGCCAAGAATATATAATCATAATGTGGTGCTTATTTTGTGCAGCCAGATTGACCTTTTAAAGGCCCAATCAAGTTACCATGGCCGTCTAAAATACGTGAGCACAGGTTTTTACATGTCTTTCTAGCAGTAGGTTTTAGAGAGCATTTTGCTAAATACATAGGTATAAAGAGATCATAAACTGGTCCTTTTTTATTTACATTGTATATATTATCTAAAGAGTACAAGCTCCATGAAGCGAGGGATGTTTTCCTGCTCCTTTGTCTGCTGCATTCCAGCACCTAGGAGGACACCTGGCCCGGATGACCACTCAATTGTTGACTGAATGAGTATAATAGATGAGTCAAGTTGTTTCTTGCTATAAAAACTATCAATAGCTTATGTTTTCTCCAGCATAGGCTATGTTTAATGATCCCATCCTAAGTCTCCCCTGCTCCTTTTTAACTCCTTTCAACGTGAGCCTTCACTCATTTTCTCACCCTCTTTGTCTTTGTGAATGACATCTATTTCAATTTCCTAGCCATCTGCACCAGGGGGAACACAACAGCCACCCCTCTAACCCGAAAGCCGTACTTAGACATCTGGGGGGGGGTGTTCACACAGGATAGGTATGGAATCTAACAGCTGCTTCCCCGATCCCAGCTAAACAGTTCTCAAGTCAGAACATTGGTTATCAATGAGGCACGTAACCCAGGAAGTTTCAGGAGAGCTGTAGGCTAGAGTTGTGGGAGGGGACAGACATGAAAAAGGGAAACTCAGAAGCAGGAAGTATCTCCAAGTGTCAGAAAGGTGGACAGGAACAAATGGGGAGTCTGGCCTGGAGAGCTGCACCAGGACACCCAGGCAAGTGGACCGGACATCAGAAACTCAGGAATCCAACCAAGCAAGGTGTCAGTGCCAGAATCTACACTGGCAGCAAAAAAGGAGCTCAATACAGTTAAATAAAAGTTGGTATGTACCACCAAGACTCTCGATGCACATCTTTCTGAGAAGACCACTGGGCCAGGTCGCCTGTCTGGGGTAGGAATGGAGTTGGCGAAGGCTCCAAGAATGGGGCAGTCCCTGTAGTCTACCAGGACCAAGTGAGTCTGGCCAACAATTGGAGATAACTGTATACTGGAGTCTTAACTGTGTGACAGTGACATTTCTAATGTTCAAGGTCTTGCCACCCTAGAAACTTAGTGGCGGATGAGTAACAAAGAATTAAGAGCTATCATGAAAGGAGGAAAGAAAAGGCACTCCTGTCCTGGACTACTCTGATTGTATTAATTAGTGCATTTCACATAATTTCATGATGTTCCAAACTTGTACTCTTCTCTATGTTGAAGGACTAGAGGACTTTTTAACCTTTTATTAATGAAGATGATTTGTTTTTCTTTCAGTGGCCGCGATTAAATGCCTCCAATTCTGGGAAGATAGTATCCAAATACCACTGAAATGACTTGCAACCCAATCGTTTCCTTAATTCAATACGCTCACTAATGTTTCCATAGGGAATGGATCTCAGACTAGGTCTTCGTAAAAAAAACTCCTCCTAAATGGAAATAAAGGGTTTCATTAAACCAAACCAATCTTAGGTAATCAAATCATGACATATAACATAGCAGTGTATATTTTGACCATCTAAACTTAAAAAAAAGAAAAAAACCCAACCTTTCCAATTTCTTCTGTATAGGGACATACATACGACCTGGGACTCACCCTACATGTGTTCATAGCCCGTGCTGTGATGGGAAAGGTTAGGTCCTGCTTCTCAGGAGCCCAAGAATCACAGCCATCTAGTTCAGTATATTCCTTCTCCTACCCTCTCAATGATACTCGAGGACAAAACCCATCACTCTCCAGTCCCAATCAATACTTCCATGGTCTCAGAAATGGAGGATGTAGTGGTGGCTAAAGGCAAATGATTCTGGGTGTAAATTCCATCCCTGCTATTTATTAACTATTCATTTGGACCCTACTCTCATGATGTTGTTGTCAAAACTGAATACTTAATACGTTTAAAGCCCTTGGGAGATGAAGGCTGGCACATAGTAGGTGGCATGTCAGTGTCAGTCATTATTATCCCTACACCCAGGTAGTCTTCCAGGCGCTCTGATGGAAGGAAGCACCAAGTATGAATGTCTAATGGACTCAATCTGCCCCATATTAAAAGTGGTATTATTCTAAGTAGACTGAAGCCTCCTTGAAAGCATATGGTATAGTAATATTGTTAAATGAGAGAAGGAGCTTGCTTATCCAAATTGGCATGTTATGGGCACACCATGTTGGATTTTATTCCCAGGGATCCTTGACAGCTGTAGGACTTTGCCACCATGTCTCACCAGTCCTAGGTCCCCAGTGTGGTCTGGTACAGGGGATGGGCCTGACGGTGGGGGAGGGGTGTTGTCATTTTGGAGTGAAGGTGGAGAAGACCTTAGGCAACATCTTCCCATTGGAAGCCCTCTTTTATCCAACACTTGGTCCTGTCAGACTTCAACATTTTTTTTGTGAGTCTAGGTGGCTGTATAGAAAGTACTCACTAAGTTTTTTGTTTTCTTTTAAGCTGAGCCATCCTGCCACCAGTTGGCAGCTCAGCAGCTCAGCTCGGGCTGGGAATCAAACCGCTGTTGCTCAGAGCTCAAACTTTGAGCGAGCTCTTAACCAACTGAGCCACTCGGCCAGCCCTCACTAAGGTTTTAACTCACATTGCCTGGATTACTAAACAAATTGAGTATTATACCTTTTGTAATTTAAAATAATAAATTAAAGAAATATTAGATCAAGACCAGAACATGTAATATCACAGAGAGAGTCTTACACATGTCTACCCATGTATCTAAAAGGAGGTCTCGTTGGGGTTACCGTCCATAGATGTTGCGTATGGATTCTGGATGGATGGCTTTGAAATTAAAATGGAACCACAACTACATGTTCTCTGTATGTGCACCTTTTTAGGTCTGAATAATGGGCTTAAACCTTGGGGTAATGCACAAATGAAGAGGCATGGCTTTGGTATAGAAATCTTGGACTGTGGTAGAAAAGAGGTAGTGGAGGTTCTTGCGTGGTCCCCAGACCAGCAGCAGCTATATTACTTGGGAACTTAGGTGGAGGAGTAGATATAAAGAGTTGCCTGTGGGCATGGGAGCAGGGAGAGGTGTTTGCTTTAGAGGGGCAATCCTTGAGGGTGGCAGTGGTGGTGGTGGAACAGATCTAGGAAGAAAAAAAAAAAAGGGCTGCTGTGTTGGTCGATTTGCTTCTGAAAAACTTGAGTTTCCCTAGAAATTAAAAAGTATGGTGCAAGTGTAGCAGAATGAACATATTGAAAATAGAGTCTGGAGATGGGTGGACGAGTGGTTGAATGGGTGCTACTAATTTAAGGAACAACACAGAGAAAAGAACAAAAATTGATATCTGGAAAGGTCGTGAAAGACTCTTTTAGAGGAAGCCCCATTCTGTAGGCCCTCTCATCTTTCCCAACCAGAAACATGTCCTTTACCTTGTATTCATCCAGCCAAACATGTACCAGTCTGAGGTTGTTATATATCGCAGCTCTGGTACCTTCAGGTTCATTCAGGATGTGTTGCTTATTGACATGTCCTACTCGAGAGCAGGGCAGTATGAAGAGTTGGCCTCCACACATCCAGATCTAGACGTAAGAAAAACAGAAAACATATTCACGGATGTTTGCTAGTAATCGACAACTGTTTAATTTTTTAAAAGAAATAACACTAGCTAACATTTATTAAGTTTCTTATTTCATTCGATCCTCACAATCCCCCTATAATGCAGCTGATGTGATTATCCCCGTTTTACAGATGAAGAAACTAATACATAGATTGATGAAGCTTGCCCAGGGACACAGAGCTGGTAAGTGGCAGAGCGCAGCGTTCAAACTCAGGAAATAAGACCCCATAGCTAACACTCTGAACACTAAATGATTCTGCCTCTCTCATACAGGACCAATTCTGATGCTAATTATGTGTGAAGAGTGGCAGGATATTTTGTCTTAAACTATTCTCAAACAATATTCTGAGTAACATTTTCTGAAGCAATTAAGTATTGTTGGACGTAAACAAGTAACAAGAGAAATTCTAACCATGGCTGAATTCAATCATTCGTCTTTTTTGTGCTTAAAACCCTTTATAATACTTGTGTTTAATAACTTTTTCATTACGTAAAAGTAAAATATGACTACTGAAAAACTGGCAAATGTAGAAAAGTACACAGAAAAACATAAAAATTACTTTTCGTCCTAACGCTTTATTAACATTAATTCAGGTACATATGTGTGCACACATACATACACATGACAGTAAGTGCTGTAATGGTGAAGCGTGTGCTATAACCATGAAGTGTGTGCTATAACAGTAAAGCAGCTCTATAATGGTAAAGCGTGCATAGGTGTGTGTGTGTGTGTGTGTGTGTGTGTGTGTGTGTGTGTAGCGGGAGGAAGGATGAGGTCAAGAAAAATCTGCCTGAAGAAACTACATCAAAGCTGTAACTGTGGACTGTGGTGGCAGGGAAAAGGAAGGTGGACAGAGCAAAGGGATGATGAAAGGTAGAACTGACCAGATTTGCTGAGGGAGGTGAGCCATGAGAGGGAGCGTGTCGACCAAGCCAGAACTCGGCGGGGGGTATAGGAGGGGGGCAGGTAAGTGGGGGTAGCATATCATCCACCATGGAGGGAACAGGGGAAGAGTAGTGGGCTCGAGGGAGCAGAAGTTAGTTTTGTTACTGAAATGTTGGTCCAGCGTACCTATGGGACATTCGAATGAAGGTAACCCTTAAGCAACTGGTCGCACAACAGAGCAGTGCATGTCACTCATAATAAACTTGGCGAATACATGAAACACATTGTTAGCCTTTATATCTTACCTTCAATGCCACTTCAGTAGGGGCACCATCTAAGACATATACTTCCCCAAAGATCAGGCTAGGTTCCCCTTTTATATGACCTCAAGGTACTCCTCATTTCTCCTTCATTACATGTACCAAAAATAAAATTAAATAATCTCACCCTTCCCTAATTGAATGGAAGCTTCATGGCATTAGAAACCACTATTGCATTGTGTGCTGCTGAATTTTAACAACCGGCACAGTGCTTGGCACCTAACAGGTTCTCAATAAATAGTGCTGAGTGAATGAGTGAATGAATGAATGAACAAGTGAATGTATCTTCTGAGTGCCCAGCATGTGGCACAACCTGACATAGAAGGTGCTCCTTAAATGATGGCTACATTGAACCTAAGTAGAACTCTCAAGACAGAGCTCAACAGAAACTTTAGATTTGGGTCTTGTCACCACACAGGTGTCAGGTACAGCCATGGGAGGTGGTGCAGGTCTGCTATTATGGAAAACACTAACACGTGTGTGGCCCAGGTGCTGGCCCCTCTAAACAGAGGTGCTACCACAGGTCCTGGTGGCCCTGCCCTGCCAGGTGCTATGCCTTTAGTTGCTGGGTCATGGGAAAGCTCAGAGATCTTGGAGAAGGGTGGGGTGGTTGGGCTGCAGGTGAGAGGTACTCAGTAGGCTCAGAGTAGAGGTTCTTCCCGCCATGTAAGGAAATCTTTGACTACGTTAATAACAACCAGCATGGCTTCACAGGTGCAAAACGGCTGGTGAGCACATGGAGTGAGAAGAAAGGGTTGACAAGAACAACAATCTTGGGAACACCTGTGTTTAAGAAATGCACAGAATGGGCTGGCCGAATGGCACGTTGGTTAAGAGCTGGCTTGGGACGCCAGAGGGCCCCGGTTCGGATCCCACATATGAGGGCCAGTGACACTGCCCTCTACAGCTAAGATGCTGAACAACAGCTCAACCTGGAGCTGGGCTGCCGTGAGTCGCCGGCGATGACAGGTGGGTTGCCATGGGCTACCGTGCATAGCCAGCAGCCAGCGTGAGTGGCCAGCAGCCGCTATGAGTGGCTGTCCAGAGGCCGGCGACTGATCTGCCTCGCCTGGGAAGAGCGCAGTGATGGTGCCAACTTGGGCCAGTGAAGCAACGTCCTCCACAACTAGACTGAAGAACTAAAAAATCAACAGCAACTTGTCTGTTCCCCTTCCCCCAATTCCCCGATAAAAAAATCTAAAAAAAAAAAAAGACATGCACAGAAGAAATTCCTATAAAACGAATTGAGCGCCACCAAGGGGAAGGGGGACCAGAAATGTCGTCCTAAAAATCCAAGAAAACTTTTGGAAAGGACTGTTCTACAGTGGCAAATGCTGCAGTTACCTCGAGCATATGGAAGACCAAAGACTACCCATTAGGGACATCAATATTAAACTGGTGACAGTTCCCGGAATGATGTCACAGGATGCTGAGGGCCCCCAGGATTGTGATTTACTAAAATGAAGAGGAAGTGAGAAATAAAGAAGTATACTTATATAGGTATATATACTATAATGATTTCTAGTTTCATCAATGTTGTAACAAGGATCTCAGGATTTAAGAGTAAGGAGACAACTCAGACATCCCTCCCGAGTCCTCTCATTTTACAGATGGAGAATCTGAGAACTAAGACAGCCCATGTATTTAGTGGCATCCAGGTCCCCTACCTCATAATCCTATGTTATTTCCACCACACTACAAGAACCAAGACAATCAGTATAATATAAAAGATTCCACAAATGGATTTAAGTTATTATATTAATTTGATGCCATACGTTGGAAATAACATATGGTAAGAAAATCGGGTATTTTATTAAATGTTTTCAATTTTTGCAAGGAGCCCCATAAATTGTGTATTTCATGTGATACCAGAATGGTACCAGCTACTCTTGTAGAAAAATGGCGTAATTGCCACTGCAGATGACATGACTTAAAGTTAGAGTTCACTCCCTATGTACAAAGGTAACTATGTAAAAAAAACCAAAATCTGAATTACCCTTAGTGAAAGTTCCAAATTTTCCCCTCCCCAGAAGTTCATGTCTTTGTCATACTGTCCAAGCTCATTAAAATAATGCCGTTTTATAGCAAAAATTCCTCCAGCCATTACAGGGGACCTAAAAAAGGAAGAACACGTAAATATCAGATTGATTCCATAGATTCAGTCACTGTGGATTTTTGCCAAAATTATATTGGATATTAGTGATAAATAGTTAAAAACTAGAAAACAACCATATTAACTAAGCCAAAATTATCTTAACATTTGAGTACGTAAAATTACTAAATTAAAAGCATAACTACCTGGGGCCGGCCAAGTGGCTCAGTTGGTTAAGAGCTCGCTCAAGAGCTTGAGTTCTGAGCAACAGTGGTTCGATGCCCGGCCCGAGCTGAGCTGCCGCTGAGCTGCCAATAGGTGGCAGGATGGCTCAGCTACATAAAAAATTTAAAAAAAAAATTAAAAAAAAAAAAGCATAACTACCTAAAAGTAGGCAATAACTTTGACTTATCATGTCAGCAATATACATCATGTCAAATTATGTCAGCAATCTGTATTAACTGTTGTCTTGGTCAGAGGGAAAATCATCTTCAGAATATGAATTTCCCATGGGGATGACGATTGAAACAAGTAGTGATGTTTTGAGATCCCCCTTTCTAAGGGCATTAAGTAAATTACAATATTTCTTTCTGGGAAAACGAGCATGTTACAAAACATTTCTTTTTGTCCACCAGTAGCAGGGTCCAATAATACCAAACTAAAGAGTTTGGAAAATAATTACATGTTCATTCATTCATTCAGTCAGTCATTTATTCATTTGTTCAAAACAGTATCTATTAAGCATCTCTAATGTGTTAGGGATAAATTAGGGAGTTAACAGGCAAAGGTGGAAGTAGGGACACCAAGTAGAGGTGGTTGAAGTGGTCCCAGAAAGACGATGGAATCTTAGATAAGCATATAACAATGAAGGTGGTCAGATGTGGTTGCATTTTTGGTATATTTTGAAGATAGAGCCAGCAGATTTGCTTATAGGTGGGCTGTGGGGTATTGGAGGAAGAGAAGAGTCAAGCCTGACACCCACAGTTTTGGCCTGGGTACCTGAAAGATGGCGTTTCCATGCACTGAGATGAGGAACGCTGTGGGGTGAGCAGGGTTCTGGTGGGAAGATTCAGTTTTGAACATATTTGAGATGTCTATTCAGCATTCAAATGGAGATGCCAAGTAGGCTGGTGGATAGCTGAGTCTGGCATCCTGAGAGAGGTCAGGGTTGGAGACATAAATATGGGAGCCATCAACAGGAGGAGGATGAGATTCACTCTGTGAGGACGGGAGATGGGAAAGAGGACAAAGGACCAAGACCTGGGCACTTCAACAGTAAGAAGCTGGACAGAAGAGGAGGGATCAGCAGAGGATGGTTAGGAGCAACTGCTGAGGTAGGAGGGAGACCAGGAGACGGTGGTGGTCTGGAGGAGAAGGAAAGAGAAAGTGCAGCAGCATCCAGCGCTATAGACAGACCAAGTGAGATGAACTGAGAGCCGTACACTGGATTTTACAATGTGAAGGCCATTAACAAGTTTGGCGGGGGTAAAACCTGATTAAAGTGAGTTTAAGAGACAAGAGTCGAAGATCAAGGACTCGCTAGGCCGTAGTGTTAGAAAATTTACGCATGTGGTTTGTGAAACCAAGAAGTTAACAGTAAAAGAAGAGAAGGGAGCTCGGTGTCAAAAGTTGCCAGTAAACATGGAAAGTGACCTGGAGGAAGTCCCATCAGAAACAGCCTCATAAATGCAGTTAAAAGTCACAAGATTCAAATTGTTCTCACGGTTAGACATACAGTTTCCAAGACTAATCATCTAAGAAAATCACGTTCATCTCAACCTATAAAATAAAAGATGGAAGCAACTTGGATAAACATTTTATAAGTGAATTTGGCAAAGACATCTACTTTTTCTTGACCATCCACAGTGCTGGCATTTTCACTGATCAGCACACAACTTGCTCCTGAGAACCAAGTGGACTTGGTTCACATTCTAAAGACGAACATCTGAGATTAGAGGGATTCTACCCATAGAGATGTTGCAAACTGGGGTGAGATGCTCGTTTTCAATGGAAGAAGCTCAAAACCTACCCAATTCTATTGGTACAGACTTTTAGAAACAAGATAAATAACAGAATATCATTAAACCCAAGACATTAAAGGAATCATGTCTGATAGCTTTTCTTTCTTCCAGGTACCAATACACATATGCAATTTTCCCCATAACCAGAAGAAATCTCACCGGATGGGACTAGTGGGTCCTTCTGGTCCATCCATCTCATAAGAGAAAACATCATCCCATTTAAATTGCAGATACCAGTTGAAAGCTCCCCTCACAACAGGAGAGGGCTGATATTCCAGGGTCATGTAGTCAATGACATCTATCAGAGGACACACCACCATTTTGCAGTCCTTGCTGATGGCATACAGCAAGGGCTCCAGCCACATTTTATTAACCTCGCAGTGGCTATCCAGGAACACCAGAACATCCCCTGGGGAAGTAAGAACATGGATGAAATATCGGACAACCCAAATCAAAGTTCAATACAACCCATTTGTCGAGCATCTAACTAAGTGCTATGTGCTTGGCTCTTCGAGATGCTTTCAGTTCCACTGGGGGAGACAAGAAACACACACTTCATTTTGTACCAAAAAAACGTGGGACATCGTGTGCAACAGATGTTCAGAAAGAGCTGGTGAGCTGTGGTTTAGAGGGTGGGTTTTGGGAAGATTCTAAAAAAGCAGGTGGAACTGAGCTAGCCTTCAATTAAAAAATACTTTAGCTTGGCTTTGATCAATCAACTCAATTTAGCAAATGTTAACTGTGAGGATACCTTCTTTGGCACTTACTGTCGGTTGTCGGGATGTAAAGATGTGTAACTATTTTTGCTGTTTAGTTCAAGCTTTCATGAGGGTCTATTCTGCTTAGAGAACATGGGGGGAAATGGCATCAAAATGAAGTGTGTGTGTTTGGTAATGACCAGTGCTAGCAATGATCCAGGCAAGGGCCCTCTTGCACCATGTGATGGGACCGTTCATTGGTGCAGTCTTTTCTTAGGACAATTTGGCAGTATCCATCAAAATTTAAAATAAGAACTTCCCTTTTGCCCAGCAATTCCACTTTTAGCAATTCATCCCATAGGCACGAACACACATTTGCACAAAGATATATGTACAAGAATTGCCAGTGCAGCAGCATTTTTTTAGTAATAGTAAAAAATTAAAAAAAATTGAAAAATAGCTAAACAAATTATGGCAATCCATTCATGGACTCTACATGGAATACCACACTATGATTAAAAAGTAACCTAAATCTTAAGTATTGTCACGGGTAAAGTTCCAAAACATTAAAATTACATTAAAAGAGTAAGTCTCAGGACAGTATAGATAGTACGATTCTAGTATATATTTAAAAAGCCTTAAAGCTATGTATGCGTGGGTATGTGTTTAATGCATGAAACCAGGGGTCTGAAAACATTGTGTTTTCATGCTCTCTCAGTGGCTTGTGTTGTGTTTGTGACAATGAACATGTACTGTGTGTGTGTCAAGCGGTCAGGCCAGCATAGAAAAAGACAGTCAGATTTGGCTTCTATGTAGCTTTCTGCTCAATAAGGGATCCCTGCTAAGGAACTGAGTTTCTCATTGGATTGCAACAGGGCCTGATGAAATACCTTTGGACACTACCCATCTCCTCTGGTTCTAGTTTAATATTCTGCCAGTGACCTCTGATCTTTCAGGTTCCAGGTAGCTTGTCAGCTGGAAAGCTCAGGCCCCTCGGGACGTGTCCCCCAGCAGTGTTGACCGCTCAAGGCTTGTTCAAGGCAATGCCCCAGAGGCAGGGCTGTCCTCATCCATGTTTGGTCCCCTTACCTGGACATGGGACCTCTCTGCGCTGCTCTTGGCGGCAGCCCAGGGAGTGTGCTGCTCAGACCTCCGCTCCAGAGAACTTGCTGTGAGGAGCGGGTCTGACAGCTTCCAAATCTTGGGATCTACTGCAGTGTTCACACCAAGGCCTTGCCCTCCCCAGGGGGCTCCCAGCCAATGAGTAAGCACAGAGTGTGTGTGTGTGCGTGTGTGTGTGTGTGTGTGTGTGTGTGCGCGCGCGCGCGCGTGCCCGCACGCTTGTGGAAGGGTACAGGGGAGGGGAGAACTAGAACTGGGACATTGGGCCCCATGCAGGATTCCTTGAACAGGTGATCTTTGCTTGGGGTTCCCCACAAGCCCAGCTGAGCCTCTGTGAAGCTCTTTCCTTCAACCCCGAACTCCTGCCTTTCCTTTTTTCCTTCCCAGATGTCAGGCCAGAAGCTCTGGTCCACACTTCTTCTCCCTCTCCCCTTTATCCTTCACAGACTTTTCTCTCTGTAAACTTTTTCTTCTCATTTTGTCTTGACCTCGTAGGCCTGGAACTGATGCTCTTCCTGGCCTCAGAGTCTCCTGTAGGATCAGCAGCTGCACCACGGCCCTACTCCCCCCCATTAAGTCTTGCTTTCCTCACATCTTGACAAGCGTGGGTCCCAAGAGCACCCCAGTGGGTTCCATGCATGTACAACTGCATCTTAGAGTTTGTATCTGGGGGAGCTCAACCTGCAACAGGGGCTGACATTATGACCCCCACAAAAGAATATCTGTCATCTATTTGAAATCACAAATGGACATTTTGAAGCAGAATACTTCCAGAGTCAAAAGAAGATTAAAGACTCATGGCGGAAATACATTTCCACTCTGTTTATGCCAGTGGAGAGACATGGAGGGTTTCCCTGAGGATTATCTCTGTGACACAGACACTGGGTCACGTCCCCAAAGAAATGTTCATACCTGAAGCACGAGACGCTCCAATCAGCCTCGTTCGAATCAGTCCTTCTCTCTTTTTGTTTCTTATTAATTTAATCTTTCCCCGAAAAATTTCTAGGTGATAGTCTAGTTTTTCTTTCAAATCATCTGGAAAACAAAACAAAACAAACAACCCAACACTCGACAAATTATAAACTATAACTACAGAAATTAAAACAGTGGATCACAATTTCAATTGATTCCTCGAAACCATGCTAATCCACAGAAGTGCCAACTTTAAAAGAAACTTTATACCATGCAATGAAGAGATTTATACCATGACTCAGCATTGACACTAATAGTAAACATTCTTCTGTGTTGCTAGTGAAATATTTCTATTTTAGCAAGTCACTATTAAAAGTTTAGTAGAAAAAGCATTAAGTTATGGCGCTTTGGAGCAATCTGACTTTATTACTAAAAAGTGTGTTTCTGGGCCTGCCGAGTGGCGCGATGGTTAAGAACTGGCTTGGGACGCCAGAGGGCCCGGGTTCGGATCCCACATATGAGGGCCAGTGACACTGCCCTCTACAGCTAAGATGCTAAACAACAGCTCAACCTGGAGCTGGGCTGCTGTGAGTTGCCAGCGATGGCAGGTGGGTTGCCATGGGCTACCGTATGTAGCCAGCAGCCAGCGTGAGCGGCCAGCAGCCGCAGTGAGCTGCCGTCCAGAAGCCGGCGACTGATCTGCCTCGCCCGGGAAGAGCACAATGATGGTGCCAACTTGGGCCAGTGAAGCAACGTCCTCCACAACTAGACTGAAGAACAAAAAAACGACAGCAACTTGTCTGTTCTCCTTCCCCCAATTCCCCAGCATTGTTCCCATCCCCCCAATTCCCCAATAAAAAATCTTAAAAAAAAAAGTGTGCTTCTAACTTGGTAGTGACTCTGAGACAAGCTGTCAAACCTCAGAGCCTCGGTTTCCTCGTCAGTGAGAAGGGAGACCTGTCACCTTGCAGCTGTTGAGTCGAATGCTCCTGCGATCCTTTGAAGTTATAAGGAAGTGTCTCGGAATGCAAGACCCGAGGGAATGATCTCGGTAAAACTTCCTTATCCGGTGGTCTTGAAGTTATAAGGAAGTGTCTCGGAATGCAAGACCCGAGGGAATGATCTCGGTAAAACTTCCTTATCCGGTGGTCTCGGAAAGCTGATGCCATCCCGAGGATACAGGATACGCATGTGTGAAGGCACAACTCATGCTTAATCACAATGAGTTTCGGTGAAGCAGCTGCTAGTCTAATTGAATCAATTAACTGGGTATAGATATTCAAATTGACCTCTTTGTGACCGTTGTAAATAAAAGCTTTATGCCTGCCAGTATCAGGGCTCGCTCTCTGGGTCTGAAGAGACGAGACCCCTGGCCCGCAGAAACTCTACTTTTGACTCTTGTGATTTCTTAACCCGTCGCCGCCCCTCCTCGAGCCCCCCAGCCCTTGTCACGTGGGACGTGATATCTGGCACCCCAACGTGGGGCCTCGAAGACTGTGGTATCTGGTGCCCTGAAGACGTGATAAGAGACCTACCCTATTCCATGTCCTGCTGTAGTGAGAGGACGAAGTGCATCCCTCTGCACAGAACCTGGTACTTAACAGCCACTCAATATTTGGAAGTTAATATGATGATGCTAAAGGAGGCCGGGCTTGTCAGATGGCTACGCATGTCTCAGTCTGAATTCCTAAGTCCTAGGCATCTGGATCAGGAGGTGAAGGTCACTGTGATCTTGGCAAAGCAGGGATGTCTTCCCTCATCTTTAAAAGGAGTGCCAGGGCCCCACTCAGAGGCACCTGCAGGGCAGGGGCAGCAGCTCAGCTCAGAGGTCTGTCAATGCCCCTCTGACATCTAGGACACAGCAGAAATCCGGGGAGCCAGAGAGAGGAGGAAATAGACAATAGGCAGCGGTCATCTCTGGCATCAAGCAGAGGGCTTGGGTTTTTCAGCAGGAGGCCATGTTGTTGGCATGTAGAAGGGTGGATGGCAGCAGGTCAGCTGTGGACATGCCTCTCATGTAACTCAATGGGGCCAGGTCCCTGGGGCCCCGTCCCCTGCGCCCCAAGCTGAGGGGTTCCATTGGCAGTGCCTGCTGGTGTCAGCTGGGAACAACAAGCTGCAGTTTAAAATCTTCCCCGATAGCCCACAAGGAATCATCGCACATTAACAGCAGAACTGTGTCTGTCCTGAGCTGGGTCAGAACAGAGAACACCCCATTTCCTGCATTTTCTGTGTTCAGGTTCTGCGTGCGTCAAAGACCACGCTCCTTGGTGGGGGTAGGGACATCACCACAGACCAGGTGAGCACGGATCAGGGAGGAGGAGAAGAGTCTAGTCTGGCAGCACACCCACATTTCGGTCATCCGCAGGGATTCCCCGGAAGAACATATGTGCAGCTCACCAGGTATGTCTGAACTCATGGTGTGGCTCTGAAAGGCTGGGGGAGGTCATCCTGGGACTGTCTCCCCATAGCACGACCCCAGTCCTTCTGGGTCAGAAGGTAGAGCTCCACAGTCCAGCAGAAGACCCCCCCAACCCTGTCCCCTGCTCATGGCTTTACGGGGGGACATCTTGCCCAGCGTGTGGCCAGATGCGTTTCTCCCTGCTACTGATCAGATAAAGCATCTGACCATCTCTCCACATTCCCTCCCGTGCACAGGACTAGAAATAAACAGCACTGTTCCCCTCTGACATGGATGGCTCCCATAGAAACAATGTCACGTAGGACAGTGCCTGGCCAATTCCTAAAGGTAGCTGACATCAGCTTGAGTTACATTCCACCTTCAAGTTGACGCATCTAGAGATTTTTCCCCTTCCTGTTCTTCCTACCATGTCTCCTCCTCTTTGCCGTTCCCACCCCCAAGTGGGTCAGGCTCACAGTGGGTTAGGTAAACTTTCAGGTAGGATACCTACGCGATACTGATATATTGGTCCCATGGGAAACAGACCCCGCAGGGACCTGCAGACTCCAAAAATCTTTTCACTAATCTGGGTCCTCTTAGCTTTCCTCAGGTTTGTAAATAAGTTGTAAAACATACAACTAATTTCAAATGCTAAGTGTAATCAGATTTTCTACTTATATCACAATTCTTTAAGCCAGTGAGCATACAGAAATAAGTGCTTATCTGCAGTTGGTCTGATTAGAATTCTTTCATGTGAAATAACTGGGTTGTGTCTTTTCCCCCACAGTATGCCTGTGATAGCCCCGTTTTCTCCAGATAAAATTTCAACTATGCCCTTCCCAAGTGGTTGCCTTTTCATATCTGGTCTTCTGCCCATACCCTCCTCCACAACGCTATATTCATACATAAACTACACAAAATACAGAACTATGCCAAGCTCAAACCATGTTTTCTCTCGACCTCTGGGCCTTTGCCGCACTATTTCCTCTGCCTGAAACGCTTTTTCCTTCCTCTCCATTTAGATAACTCCATCTCACCCTTCAGATCTCGGTTTAGATGTCACTTCTTCCTGAACGTCATTGATGATCTCTGAAGACCAGGTTGGTGCCCCCACATTTACCTCATGAGCACTAGCCACCCCATCAACCCAACACCATAGGACAGGGACCAGCACCGGGACCAGTGTAGCGACAGCACCCAGCACAACGCCTGCCTCCACACCCCCCAGCAGCTGTTCTTTGTCTAACTCACGCACCATCAGAGATAGCACTGCCTTCTAAGTACATTAGACAGATTGTTCGTGTTCTGTCTTACCAAATTCACTCATGTCATCGACCAATATAATTTCTTCAAGGATATGGTGTGGAGTGAGCATCATGACACTGGACAAGGTCCGAAACAAGGCATTAAATTCTTCATTGTAGAAGCAAATGATAATGCTGGCAGTAGGTAGTCTGGATGGGTAATGTTTTTTACGACACCTGCAGGCATAAATAGGAGAGAAAAAATGATTCATCTAAACGCCTTCGAGGTTTTGGGATCTGGTTTCAAACTATATTACAAAGCTATAGGCATCAACACAGTATGGTGTTGGCATAAAAACAGACACATAGATCAATGGAACAGAATAGAGAGCCCAAAATAAACCCATGCCTATGTGGTTAATTAATTTACAATAAAGGAGCCAAGAATATACAATGGAAAAAGGACAGTGTCTTCTATAAAAGGTGTTGGGAAAACTGGACAGCCACATGCAAAAGAATAAAACTGGACCTTGAGGGCATTATGCTAAGTGAAATAAATCAGGTAGAAAAAGACAAATATGTATGATCTTATTTACACGTGAAATCTAAACAAAAACAAAACACAATCCCACCCCCCACCACCACCACCCCTGCCGACCCCAGAAAAACCAAGCTCTTAGATACACAGAACAGATTAGTGGTTGCCATAGGCAGGAGTGGGTGAAATGAGTAAAGGGGGTACAGTTATAAGATAAGTAAGTCATGGGGATGTAATGTACGTTAATAATGCTGTATGCATATTTGAAAGTTGCTAGGAGAGTAGATCTTGAAAGTTCTCATCACAAGAAAAAATATTTTTTTGTAACCATGTATGGTGACTGATGTAAACTAGATTTAGTATGGTGATTTTTTTACAATATATACTAATATCAAATCATTATCTTGTACACCTGAAACTAACACAATGTTATATGTCCATTATACCTCAATACAAAAAAATTAGGAGGAACATACATTTCATTCCTGGTATCTGGCACATGTCTCTCATTGCCCAAACTTTTACTGATGAAAGTATTCAATCCATATTTTAAAAATTCACGAACAGCTTCTGGGTCTGTATAGTTAAAAGTCTTACCTGTGAGAAAAGGTAATCAGAGTCACATAAGTTTTAGCTTACTACCGTTACTTTGATTAAGGGATGACGTTTTTAACTGTACCTATTAAAATATATTTCTGTGAAAAACAGAAAGCAGTCTGAAACAAATATAGCAAACTGTATTTAAAAATTTTTAAATTTAGGTGGTAAATACAATTGCCTATTTTATTATTCTCTCTATATAGTATGTAAAATAGTCCATAATTTACAAATTGAATTGCTCTGAAAAGGATATTCTCGGACCCTTCCAAATATGAAATTTATGTCATATTTTCCCCTTAAAATCGCTAACAGAGAAAATAAAAATACTTACTTAAGTTTAAAATTGGCCTCTTTTCGTTAGTTTCATCTTTGTTAGGCCTTTGAAGTCTTACATGTAATCTTGGTGTTTTCCCAGAGCCATGGATAATTTGCTGTTGCAATTTTTCATCAGGGTACAAAACTGATGTAGGCTCCTTGGTTTCCTTCTGGGAGTTGCTCACATAATTATGGTAAAAACATATAAATAACAGAGCTGTGCAGATCCCAAACGTCAAGGATCCATAGAATAAACACTGAATTACGACATTTCTCATTGTAAGCCTAGCATTTCTGAGGGTCCATTTTTCAATTACCTAAATCAAAAGGATTTGAGAGAAATTATGTTAGATATTTCAATGGTTTGTAGATTATCTACTTGGCTTAAATTCAATTTTCAGGGGATTTTTTTATAATTTTAATGTTTCAATTATAGTTAACATACAATATTACATTAGTTTCAGGTATACAACATAGTGACTAGACATATAACCTTTGACGTGATTACCCCAATAAATCTATTATCCATCTGAGAACCTTACATGGTTATTACAATATTATTGACTATATTCCCTATGTTGTACTTTACATCCCAATGACTATTTTGTAACTACCAAATTGTATTTCTTAATCCCTTCCCCTCTTCATTCACTCCCCCAACCTCCCTCCCATCTGGCAACCATCAAAATGTTCTATTTCTGGGTTTGTTTCTGTTTTGTTTGTTCGTTTATTTTGTTTTTTAGATTCCACATATAAGTGAAATCATGTGGTATTTGTCTTTGTCTGTCTGACTGATTTCACTGAGCACAATACCCTCTAGATCCTTCTATGTTGTTGCAGATGGCGAGACTTCAGTCCTTTTTATGACTGGATAATATTCCATTGTCTATATGTACCACTTCTTTATCCATTCATCTATTGATGGACACTGAGGCTGCCTCCACATCTTGGCTCCTGTAAATAATACTGCAACAAACTTCTAGATGCACATGTCTTTTCGACAATTTTCAGTTTTAAAAACAGAATCGTTTTGATATCAGTGTTTATCATATACTTTGATAAAGTGTATTTTCTCTATTATCAAAAACTTTCAACACTGATACTCATAAGATGACCTAACATCAAAATACATGGCATGCTTCTAAAACATACAATATTGTTGAAAAGCACTGGCCCATCCTCCTGAGCATGTAGCGAACAGAGATAATGGGAAAGGTTTACTCATCTCTCGCACAGGCTCAGTCCATCTTGGAGAGTACAGGTCTCTATTAAAATATCAGATCTGTCGCCAATCAAAATTAAATATCTATAAAAAGATACACTATCACAAGCTACGAAGAAAGTGGGCGGTGAAAACTGTACTTCCTCACTCAACAGGACTGTGAATTGGTACAATCATTCTGGCAATATCTAGTTAAGCTGCATTTATCCACATACCCTGAGGAGACTCTTATGAGACACGTACAAGAATATGTATGGAAATAATGTTTGTAACAGAAACCAGATATAACTTAAATTTCCCTCAATAGGAGAATCCAGAAAGCAAGGCTATTCATCCAACACTGGAAATGAACCAACTGGACCTACAGGTATTATTAATATTGTAACATCTAAAAAAAA